ATACTTAAGTTACCTGCGGCGGGTTTTCTAGCACTTCTTGGTAAACTTCCCTTACTCTGTGCCACACGTCAATCATGTGAAACTTGTGAACGATTCGCTCAGTTGAAGACCAATTCGGACCCAGGCCGTCATCGTCCTTACCAATCCGGCTCAAAATGGCGTCCATGATATTCATCGTCTCAGTGGTGAAATCTTCCCCACGAGGTTCCTCTGGAGCAAACGGTAGCACCAGCTTTTTCTGAGGAACAAAGTGAATTGTTTAGGGTCTGCACTGTTATTTATTTACTCTCTCTGCCCTCCTCACCGAATCATACTCGATGAGAGCCAGACACACTCGTGGGGCGCCATGCTTACTCTCTAATAAAAAGGCGTTAATTCCGATTTCAGAACTACATTCTTTAAAAATGATTGTACATGACGCTTAAGATCGGATCATCATCCTTGATGTTTAGAATCTAGAGACAGATCGTATCTGGCTTCAAGAGGGGTTTGATTACCAGATCATTTCGCAGAATATTGCTTTGTTGATGCAACCTCAATTACCAATGAAAACTTAAAATCTGATTTCAGTTGCACTACACGTTCCAGTTACAAAACTTCTTTTCTGAAATGATGATTTTGTCCCTGTTGTATTTTCATTGAAATCAGCCTTTTCTAAGCGAAAAAAAAAAGGAATTGCTTCTGTATCTGCCTCACAAAATGAATGGCACAGCTCACTCCAGTCTAGCCCGGGACCTTTATGGGAAAAAATACCATTGTTGAGGGCTAGAATCACTAGAAGCTCAACATATTAGATTAACCCTCTACACCCTAACATTAGTGTGCACATTCTCTGTACTGCTCTCCATACATTTTCTAACGTTTGACATGGAGAATTTGTTTAACAATCAAGAGCTCCCTTAGATAGTGATCATTTCCTTCTTTTCGGGTTCAAAGAGTTGAAGTTTCAGCTAATTTTGTTAATTCGTCGATTGCGTGATCTGTAATTTGATTCAATAGTTCCAACACGTACCAAGCACGAAAATTTAGGCAACACTTTAAAAGTGCCAGCTAACAATCGTTGAAAAGAATGTCCAACCAATTCTAAACCAGCCAATTTTCAAATTTACCTGACGATTAAGAAAAGAAAAGTAAATCTGTAATTGAGAAGTTTTTATGGCTTATCTTGTACCAAAGACTGCCACGGTTGAGTTTGACAAGGTCTCACTAGCTCATGGGCGCCTAGAGGTTTTAGTGCTAACCTGCAGTTGTAATGATTCTTCTCTATGAGGCGAATTTATAATAGTGTGCCGGTTGTTTTGATGTTGCAAGGCGGTAAGCAAAGTCCACAGCACTTACTTCGTCATGGATGTCGTGGTTCACAGTAGGAACTCGATTATCCTCATTTGCTCTCGGGTTAAACAGGCGAAGGCCCTGCACGCTCATGGAGTGAATTGTGTGGGCGATCGTCTCATTGAAATTCTGCGACAAAAAGTACGAAGCATACAGCTCCGTGCAAGAAGGCTGAACAGCTGCAGCTGAGCTGCAGAGAAAAGAAGCAATCAGCAGGAAGAGATTCATAACTGTTGTCATTTTGCACAAGTCTCCGTACTCGTAGACACTTTTTTGTGTAGATAGTGAAGGATTAGCGTGACTTTTCAGACATTTGCTACATCCCGTGATTTAAGTGTCGAGTTACATCTGCTATTCAAAGCATTGTTGGCACACAGAAGTTATGACAGTGTTTCGACAACTTACGTAGGGTGATAAAACAAAAAGTATTTATCATTTATTTCTCGTCCATCCTCTACTGTTTTAAAAGACATCAATTTACAGCAGTGAATATTGAACGTCAAAAATTCACTCCAGCTGCTTTACTGTAGAAACTATTATATGTTAAATATGTGGCAGAAAATCTGAATAGCGCATAATACATACAATACATCTCCTCGACGTTTATCGTGAAATATTTTGTATTATTACATAACTAGTATCTTGTAACGGTTGCAAAGGGATAGAAAAGCACACACACGTTTTAAAACTGCTACAACACGCATTTTGAAATTGCTGAGTGTTTGAGTTAATTTACAACAAAGGAAGGAAATAAACACGTTTTTTTCAATCGAACAATTACAAGGCTGTTTTAAACCATTAATTTCTGAAAAAGAATTTTATTTACAACTGAAGATGTTACTCGCCTTCACGCAAGCACGGAACAAAGGAACAATCTAAGTCCTACACGAGGAATTCGGATGCCTAGTTCTGATGCTTATCCTTATTCTGTTCAGACCTGAAATTTCTTTATCATGAGAATAACCGGACCGTCTCTCTGAAAAATTTACCGTCAAAAGCGGAATGGTCAAAAATACAACTGTCTACCGTAGAAGAGGCTTATTTTGAACTCTCAACCGTCGGGGATGCTACTTCATTGAGATCCTGTTGGTAATGAGGACACTCTGTGATGCTTTATAAGATGTACGGAAAGAATCTGTCATGGAGACCTCAGGATCAGAGCTGGAACTCGTCCTTCTAAAACGTTGGAACCATTCGAATCAGCAAATTCTGCGGATGAAACTGTGGAGAAGGTGACAATCAATCCACTGCACTGCACCGTGGATTCCCCTTCTTCGTATTTTCGTAATGAAACGTAGTACGGTGCCTCCACAAGCGAAGCTGCTATGTACTGCTGACCACCAGACAGGAGAACTGCCTGGTCGAAGTAAATTGGGTCACTTGTCCAATCTGGGAATCTACGTTGAACGGTTTTGGTGACGATTAAAACCCCGTCAGAGTGAGTTATCTTGATAGTTACCGTGACGTCAACTCGTTCTGGAAAAGTCGATCCGACTCTTACTCCTAGCACGTAATGGTCAGCGCTCAGCGTAAAGGCAATTTTGTCGAACTTGTCTGTGATTGGCCAGGATTGGTAATCGCTACTTATGGTTGACCTCCAGCAGTTAAATGGTGCTGATGATGAGAAAATATAGAAAAAGGTCACGATGGTACTATGTGCGCTCTGGTTGGTCGAAAACCTATCATTTATTTTATCGATAAACCGCTAGATAACATGATTTTGTCAGACCAACAGATTGCACCTTCCATCGATTTTCCGGGCTAAAACCGTCTTGATAATTTGGAAGGAAACTCGAAAAATTTGGGAATTATTCCCCTTCGGCGTCCTACGAACATCCCGCCGGGATCATGATTACGCTGGTAAAGCGAGGTAAAGTGCGGGGCATCGGTTCAAAGTTTCATGATTATAAATGAAAGATTTAGAAGACTTGCTATCCTACACACAAAAAAACCGGTTTCGGCGAAGAATTCAACTTCATCTGGTACTTATGAAAAAGGTGAGTTATGATAAAGGAAAGGAATGAGTACTCGAAAACATGAACTTTATTGACATTTAAATTGCAGGTATTTTTGCAAAACCACAGGTATGTAAGGAAGAAAGGAACTCTTATTTTTTGATGACCTCAGAATTTTGAGGGACTGGTTACAATTTTTAACACCTGGAAAAAAAGAGTGGGGGGGGGGGGCTGGAGGTCCCTCCCCATAGGGATCTGTAATATCCCTATGACGACTGATCCCCCTCTGTTCCCCCTGAAAACCATGTGATCCCCCTAAACATTATCCCACCGCCCAGCCCCACCCCCCCAGGCGATTAAAAATGACTGGTCCCTTATAACACTGAGCTTAGGGAACCTACCATTTCTTTATTTGTACCATAACTAAGGACAGTCAGACTCACCCAGTTGACAATGAACACCAGCAAATAAGACATCACACTGACATGTATATCCTCCACCATAAGTTGCGTCACACATTCCTCCGTTTAGGCACGGGTTACTGACCATACACGTTGTATCTTTGCATTGGGGAGAACGAGAGAAAAATTACCTTAAGGCTTTATTGCTCGAGCTAAGGAAAAAATCACAAGCATGAAACGAAAGGTAGATCCCTAAGTTGATTTCGGGCGGAGAAGGGCGAGGGTGGAGGTCGATGAAAACGAAAGAAGTACAAAGCGCCATTTGATTTTTTGCCTGGATAGACAGTTGCAAGCATCAAGGAACACGAGAAAATCAAACAGGAACATGAATAGCAAAGAATAGAGGAGATTAAATTGGAATTAAAATAGAAAATTTGAAAAATCCATTTTTTCTGTTGATCATATGATGAAATTTACTGATTGCGACCTTGAGTTCCTGTATAAAGCCTGAATAATGCCTCGAGGCTTAGTATATATCTTGAAACATTAGGTCCAGTGTTTTCCACCAATTCATGTGGAATCTGAGTTAATCTTCTTCATTCTTAAAGATTCCACAATAATTTCAAATTCAATCAACTAAAACTTACCGAACTCGCAGTGTTTGCCTGTTTTCCCAGGATTGCAGATGCACGTGTAATTGTTAATATGGTCGTTACAGACTCCGCCAAGACACGGATTATTGGCGCACTCATCAATATCTGAAATAATATTCGCCAAAAACATTTGCAGAAAAAGCAAAAACAAAACGGTTAAAAATGTTCTAAGCGGACTGACCGGGCACTGGTGTTTTTTCTGAATGGCTTTTGTCTGGAATTAGAATACTAGTTTATATACAGTGACTGCAGTGATGCACAGGCGGGCAAGCGAAAAAACTCAGTTATAGAACAAGAGATGACGAAGGTAGGTACCTCAAAGTTGGGCCTGACCCAATTGTGCTCATAAAATGTTGGAACGTCAAAAAGTTTCTAAAAAATTGCTAAAAATCCAAAAAGTTGCAACCTAAATTTCTTCATACGTAAAGATAAACGTGAATTAAAGGCTGTGTTAGGCTCTTCACAACAATTGCTTATAGCAATGGAGAAAAAATAAAGTAGCTTGAAAGTTGGTTTTAAAGAATTGCTCGGAAGAAATCATGAACTTTAACGAAACTCTCAAGTCTAACGGAACAAAACACATGGTTCCTTTGACGTCTTAAGATTAGCTAAGGATCGCAAATGGACCCGCGAAACACTGTCGAGTGACAGGTTATGTGTTCAAAAGGTTTATAAACATTCAAGAAATTCGCATAAAAAAAGTTTTCCATGATATAATTGACTTTTTCGTGCCTGATGTGTGCTCTAAACATATATTTTGCTCAAAATTGCTGAGAAAGGCAAAAATTCCTCCTGGTTGCTAGAACCACAAACAGTTGCTCCAAACGCTGAAAGTTGCTCAAAATATGCCGAGAATAAATAGGACAAGCCTTACTACCGTTACGAATCTTGAACATTCGCACGTTATAAATGGCAAGAGTTACCGCAGTAGCCTATTCAGCTTCACCATATGGTTGATAGCCAATCATGTGTAGAGTTGCGATTGGTCCAACTTTTATCAAGGAAACCTAATATAACTTGGTCATGGATTAGTCTTCATTTTTGTTCCTGAATTTGCTTTTATTTGCTAGTTTATGCAGGTCATAATCGGTTACATGATTCTGGCTTACAACAAAGGAGAAGCCATATCCATAGGAATTCAAGTTGGCTGTCAGTAAGAGCATATTTTAGTGACAAACTCATAATGAAACAAATCGTAAAGAAGTGAACGAGGGGAAGGAGAGGGCTTCGCCTTTTAATAGGGTTGGCGGCTCCGACAGCAAATAACTCTCATACTTACCAATTTCACATTGGTTCCCTGTGAACCCGGGGAGACAGGCACAACTAAAACCGTTCACTTCATCCTCACACTGAGCTCCATTTTTGCAAGGATTGCTATTACATTCTTTAATATCTGTGGAAAAGAATCAAGGCAGAATTTCATTATACCCGCCTTTACATCGTGATAACATTAAGGAGAAAGGTTTGGACTGATTGACGTTCGTCAATCTCAGATTTCAGGTATAGAAGACATATGTAACTACATTAACATATTTTCCTTGATTGAGGGGTCATGAATGCTCCATAATATTGGATTTTCGGACACGAGGAACATGGATGCCTTGAGGTTTGACCTTTGGCCTTTATTTCAATCTCGCTTTCAGTCTTAGCTGTATCACTCAGTCGGTTTGATATTTGATTCGTTTGTCCTTGTCCTCTGTCCACGAGAAAGCCAATAAAACGGGTCTATTAAAATTCTTACGTATACCTCCAAAGCAATGGCGTCCTTTAAATCCTGGAAAGCATTTACATTTATAGCCTCCATCTGGTGTTACTTCGCATGTGCCACTCTCACATGGTAATCCGAGACAGCCTACCTTCATGTCTGTTAGAGGAAGGGAGCCACAATTTCATTCTCAAAACGCAGTTCACTCTTAATGAGAAATGCACCATCGAGATCTTGGTAGAAGTAATATTCCCTCGTCATAGGAGATTTCTTAGTGTATCGGGCGCTTTTTGACCGAGTTTCGTAAAATCAAAACCAAAGTAATTAAAATAGCCAATCCGAGGAAAGGAAATACCCTGAGGAGCCAGTGAGAATTCTGTGTTTTCTGGACCAATCGTTGAGTAAAGTAACCAAACCAATGTAATCCAGGATTTTCTTCCACACTCAATTTTTTTTTTTTTTATGGTTGTAATTACACCTTCAATAGACCACATTCGCTCCACCCTTGTTTCGATTGAAGAGTTGACCCCTCAGAGAAGATATAATCACTCCCCTAATTATTAAATCTTTGCTTTACC